GAAGGAGACCAAGATAAACTCAATTAAAGACGATGAATTAAAAAGGGCGATTTTACCTTTTTCTTTTGTTTGTCATATGAAGGGTATTTTCCTAACTTTAATCCCAACCTTTCTTTTTGGCTTCCACGCACTCTTGAGGAGGCTACTGTTATTGTTTCGACGTTGGATTTATCCTTCGTCCATAATCTCCCTGAAGGGGATAAGATGAAACTGACTTCTTAGCTTGCTTACAACATGTTCAAATCTGGTACCATTTTCTCTTTCGACTATATTGGACGGGGTGATGTCTTGACTATGGGTAAACCCCCCCAAGAAAGGGATACTTGGAAATGGAAGGCCTGAGTTATGGAGCTAAGGTGAACCAACCTCCCGAAAGAGCTTATTATGATGCATAATAAGGTTAAAGCTACAAACTCTTTGCAAGAGGCATTGGAAATACATTACCCCCCTTCTACCCTGGACGACTGTGTGTCTAAGCTGGATGGTTCTATTTAAGATGCAAATAAGTGGTATAGAGCTGCTTCTGATTCTGTTGAGGAGAAGACTCACCCAGTAGAATAGAATTGCAAAGCCTTTCTTCAAGAGATCGAGGCCCATGCAGAGGCCTTGAAAACTCTTCAAAACGAGGTGGTCGGTCTGATGTAGGCGCTCCGTGAATCTCTTCAACAGACTATGAAGGACGTGCTTGGAGTCCATAAGTGAATAATGGAACGTGTAAGGAAGTTTTGCCCCAATGCTATAATTTCTATTGAGGCCCTAAATCTTTTTAGGTCCATTTCTGGGATAACTCCGAGGGATGGTCCTGATGCCTCTCGACTTCAAACGCAACAACATGATTTTCCTCTTACTTTGTATTATTCTATTTACTTCAATGTTTCCAAGAATTTTGTGTCTTTGGTGTAATGATATTTTATATTCAAAAATATATATTTTACCTTGATGATTCATCAATAAATTTATTTTAGATCTTTTCGCCTATCTTTGCTTTGTCACCGTTGTTATTTACGAATTGTTGTAGCTCTGGAGCTGCTTTTTCACCATGCGAAATATTTATTCCTTTTAGAGTTTTGGTCAAATTATCAGTTTTTATCGGTTACAACATAATGTTTATTTTGGGCACGAGAGCCTACAATGTTTGCTTTATGGAAAAAATAACACATTTAATTATAATGAAGTGTCAGATAAGCCTCTGGAATTTACATGCTTTTTGTAACTTGGTGCATTGAATAATGTTAGCTACCATTTTTGGTTCCTAAGCTTATTCAATATCTTTAGTATTTGTTGTATTAGTATACTGATTTGTATGTCCTGTTTGGCAAATTGCTTGCGTTCCCGGGGACGAGGCATGAGATTGGGAAAGTTAAGGTCATAAAGTCATACTTTATATTATGCTATGCGTCACATGGAATTGTTTCCCGATCAAGGGTAGGATCCCTCATTCCTGCCTCTGAGCCTTTACTTGGATCTAGGTGGATATCTCCTAGATCCACCACCTATGCCTTAGGATTGGCTAGATTCAAGGGGGGTGCGTCAGCTACGCAGAAGTGCACTTAATAAGCCTCGAATGTAAGGTGTGCATTTGAGCCATATCAGAATCATAAAAGTGTGTTAAGTTTGTATCTGATATGCAAATGGGCATGTAATGTGTTTAAGTCGCATCAGAATCTCTGGAATGCGTTAAGTTTGTATTGGATGCACATTTATGTAGGCGATACGTTTAAGTTCTATCATAATCACATAGACGCGCTAAGTCTGTATCAAACACACAATCAAGCATATAATGTGCTTGAGACATATCAGAATTGCACATATGCGTTAAGTTTATATCAAATATACATTTAGGTATTTCGTCTTCGTTCCCATGTCTCAAGCGTTCTAGCAGAAAGAGAGACAAAGTAGCATACAACATAGGAATAAAGAGAATATATATATATATATATATATATATATATATATATATAATAATAATAAATTGAATTTGTTACAAATAAATAATGCAATGACGAGGTAAATATTCTTCAACGATGAATCTGATATGGATGGATGATATCCAGGGTCACTGACCGTTGTTCTTTCCCCGAGTTTCGAATTGAACATACTTTGCACTTTAAAACATCTTTTTTGGTTGGTTGTTATTCGAGGTGCCCCGCCTTGCATTTTCCTGTTGATATGTATTGGGTGGTCGGCTTTTCCAGGAGAGTAGATTGAGGTCGACTATTGAAACTTTAGGCTCATTTAATTGCTCTGTACAATGCTTTAGCGAGGCACTTTTGCTCACTGGGACAAGCTAAACTCCTTAGATGAAAACACTTTTGAAATTCTGGTATTCAGATCAAAGATGTCCTAAAAGATGTCGAGATACCTTTTACTGAACTAACACACAATGAACAATATGAATGATAAACATAGTGCAGAAAAGTAAGGAACACACATAATTGTTAACCCAGTTCAGTGAATCAACACATCTACTCTAGGGGCTTCCAAGCCAGAGACCAAGTTAACTTAATAGTATCAATTCGTAGACCCATAACAAACTTTCACCTAGTTTACAATCTAATCACTTAATCACTACCCGTTCTTAACTTCTACCTAAAACTCACTTAAGTATGAGACCCTTCTCAAATCCTTTTCAATCATAATCACAGTGATCGACCAATTCTAAACACGTAGAACAAATACTGAAGTCACACTTCAAAGACATACAATCATTCACTGCATCAAAGCTTTGGAATGATTGTCAGAACTTACAACTCAATAAAACAATCACACTCTTTTATCAACATGATAATCGATAGGCTCATAATAAGCACACAAACCCTAATCAAAATACACAATAATTTCCACACTAAACTAGGTTAGTGACATTCTATTTAAATCCATCCTTTGGTTTGGAATGGGCCTTTCAATCACAACAAATCATCTGCTAAAACTCAACAGAATCTTATGCACACATTAGGGCTTCAATCATTAGTTTCCTAAATTATCTCCAAATTTAGAAACTAATAATATTCCTTGTATTCAGCTAGAATCTTTTTCAATCTTCAACTTGTGAGTCACATGGGATAGCATAATATCTTCGGAATATTTTGTACTTGTAACAACTAAAAAAATCTAATAATCCAACTGTACAAAATCACGATGTCATATACTTCTGGTTGGGACATCTTATTCGACATGTTGCATCAATTGATAAAACATCTTCATTCAATATGTTTCTACTAAGTTCATTTTACCAAACATAATGTCAACCATAGAAATAGAGAATTAACAATCTCCCCTTTGGCTTATTTTGGCTAAAACAACTTAGTACTTCTTCCACACAAAAATAACTAACATCTGCACATGTTTGAACAATGTCAAACACACAAGTAACCATAATTAGAGACACAATAGTAGCAGAAGCAATCAACAGAATTCATTATAATACATATCAGAGTGTCAACACCAATCAGAGTACCATCACCAACTAGTGGAAGCTACCCAACACAACAATTAAGATAATAACAAATTCTCAACATGTCAAGACATTTTGTCTAACATTTCTTCAAGTCAGATCCATTAGAACCTTTTCTTCCAATACTGCTAAGAGCACAAGAGAATTTGATGATTCTCCCCCTCAACAGAAAGTTACAACACCAGACAATTTTCATTCTTCTTCATCTTCAGAACCATCCAAGCTACCCCCCTTAAACTTGGAACAAATACTTGATATAAAACGATCACATGTTTTTCTTGAACAATCTTGATGTTGACTCAAGATAACAGACTCCAATTCCGGGTACCTCAGAACACAAGACACCACTGTGTTCACAACTCAGGTCTGCAGGCACAAGGAAACCAGAGACTTTCTCCCCCTTAATTGTTTCATCCCACAAAAGTGAGCAGCAACATTTAGCAAACATCTCTTCTCCCCCTTTTAGCCAAAAGAAGACATAACTAATGAGGGTTAAAGAAACCCAAAGAGAATTTCCACAGTTTGAATTACCACTTTATTTGTAACGACACCCACAATCAATGTATGCATTTCCAAGTCTTGATTGGAGAGATGTTCCAATAACTTCTTCATATGATCCTAGAGGTAGGCAAACAGACCACTAGAGCCTATACTCTCTCTTTAAGACCACATCTTCCCTTTTCAGCAAAGTTTGCTTCATATGTTAGAGTCAAATTACACTTGACATGACACTCTGTTGAGCTTTACAAATAACTTCAGAACCAGACTGTCTCCAATCCTAGCCATAATCTTTGAGCAAGATCAGACTACAGATTTAAGCTACAGCCACACACGAATCCATAAGAAAGAATTTTCTAAATACTGCAAAAAATAATACTTCGGCCACTTCACTAACAATTATCCTTCTATCAAGATACCAGTATGATCTCTCTGTCACGAGATTTCACACATAAAGCTCTTCCTTGCTTCTGAAGCTTTAGGATGCTGAGATGATGTCCCAACATCAATATGTGGGTTTCACTCATAAGTCCTCAATAGAACTTAAAGACCAACACACTTCATGATGAACCACTCGTAGAAGATGTATTTTTCACACTAGTGATATATCATTCTCCTTTGAAGAGAGAAAAACGAGACATATGAATATAAATGACTAAGAGATTGATTTTTATGTATGTTAATATAAATTTCTTTACGCAATCAATACATCACAATTATTCAAAGATAATACTTTATAAATTATTAGAATGAAAATCAAATATTATTAAAAGTCTAACCGTCACAATGACAGTGTAAAGTTTATTTATATCAATTAAATTCAAAGATTATAAGAAAATTGTGATTTTTACTCTTTTTTTTCTTTCATGTGAAGGGTATTTCCGTAACTTCAAGCCCCAATCCCCGTTCATTCACCACTCTCTCTCGTTCCCTCGCAAAACCCTAAACCAGAAACAAGCTCAATCGAAAAATTCAATCTCGCATTCATAGTGTTCCGCCATAACCAACTTCAAACTTCATTCACATCACTTTCAATCGAGTTTCCGCCATGACTGCATCTAAGAAAAATCACAAAGACAAACCAGTTCGCCGCAAGTAAGTTTTATCGAAATCTCAGTTTTTGACGGAGGGAAGGTGCACATAGTAAAATTCCATAGGGTAAAAAATTTCGTATGATTATTACATGTTTGTTTATGATAGTGGAATTTGTGCAGGGAAGAAAAACCGGAAGAACCAGAATTGCCGAAATACAGAGATCGAGCTAAGGAACGTAGAGAAGATCAAAATCCTGATTATGAACAAACTGAACTTGGGTTTCATGCTGTTGCTCCTCCTGGTACCGTTGATATTACGTAAGGTTTCCACCACTTTAATCAAAGCATGCAGCACAAAAAAAATAACTTTTTTTGTTGTTGTTGCTGCTTATGCTGTATCAATGGTTGGGCTTTTCTAATGGTGATAATGTTTTGTAGGTCATCTGATGCGCATAAGTTATCGATTGAGAAGAGCAAGTACCTTGGAGGTTCGTGTTTTACTTTTATTTTGTTCTACATTGAGCAATAGCGGTCTTGGTTTGCGAAGAAATAGTTAATCTAAAAACAGTGTTGTCAAATAGCGACACTTGTTGTGGATGTTGTGTTGGATGTGTGATAAAATTAGACAAGATAGGATTAAAAATGAAAATATTTGAGTGTTGGGTAACTGTCTATAGTAGAGAAGGTGATGGAAAATAGACTTCGGTGGTTTTGGTATGTAAGAGAAGACTTATAGATTATGTGGTAAAGAGAGTAGATCTGATGGAGATGGAGAGAAATCAAACAACTAGAGGAAGAGGAAGAAAGACTATAAGAAAAGTTAGTAAGAAAGATCTCGAGATTACCGATTTGGATAGAAACATGGTCCTGAATAGAACATTATGGCGAAACTTAATTTATGTAGCCGACTCTACTTAGTGGGATAAGGCTTAGTTGTTGTTGTTGTATTGTTTTGCAATATCCACTATAGCGACATTATAGTGTTATGCAATATCCAATTTAGTACGAAGTGTCGTCACTTGTTAAATAGCAGCTGTAGCAGTGCTATTGCACTGCATGCAGCGGAATTGGAACAGACCGATCTTTTCTTTGATCGGCAATTGACACACTATCTAAAAGTTTGTTTTCTTCCCCTTTTTGGCTAACTGTTGAAGGTTTAGGTCTCTTCTGCATGTGCATAAAAAATGTTAATTGTTATAAAAAATTTGTTTCTGGGAGGGTCTATTAGTTTGGTGCATTCAACATGACTATAGTTCAACAACAAAAATTGGAATCTTTTCCCACTAGATGTGGTTGAATACATGAATCAAGCAAAGTTATAATTCATTATCGCGAATTATATATGATAATAGATTGTTTAACTGCAATACTCTCTTTATGGTTTTGTCTATAGTCAGTATCCTTTTATCCCTAGTTATTGGACTATCTTCTAATTTCTCTTGTCATCCACAAATACCCAAGCCATCTTACAGGGTCTCTACCATCTTTTATACAATGAGAGCTACCCCTACTTTTTCTATACCTGATTTTCGTCCTACTCTTATCTTGCTTTGCGTGACCACTGACCACTTATCCATTGTAACATTTTTATTTGTGCAATACTAAGCTTCTTTTTTCATAGGCTCTTTACTACCAACATTCAGTCTCATACAAAATTGTCAGTCTTGTAGTTATGCGATAAAATTATCCAAGTTCTGAGGGGTACTTTTCTATCAAAATGTTACCCCTAAGTTTTCTTCCATTTCATCTACTCTGGTTGGCATCTTCTATTTCTTCGTTATTTTGTGAATTAGACCTAATATACCTAAACCATAGTACTTACAAAATAGTACATTCTCCTATTTTCACCTTGAAACTAGCAATTCTGTACCGCCTTGTAAACCATCATTGATATCTTCCATAAAGTCTCAACAAAGTTTTATAGATTTAAGTCCGAACTGAATCTCTTATGTTAATAACTTAGCTTGTTTGCTTTAATTGTCTTGTTCAGGTGATGTGGAGCATACACATTTGGTTAAAGGTTTGGATTATGCTTTACTGAACAAAGTAAGGAGTGAAATTAAGAAGCCAGATGCTGGGGATGAAGGGGACGGGAAACCAAGGTGACTGAGCCAGTAGTTGTAGCTATGTGGTTGTACTTCTGTTGATTAAAGCATTCTACTGTCCTTTAAAATTTGTCTTCAGTAAAAATTGCTATGTTTTTGTATTTTTCTGACAGAGTACCCAAGGAAGACCAGCAAGTGTCAATTCGCACAGCAACTGCTAAGGTTCTTTTGTAGATTTGTATAGAATAGGAACTGGAGAATTATTTTACAATTTAAGTTGAGATTGAAGCTGCTAATTTGAGAATTATTGTCACCCGTTGGTAGTGATTCTTTTAATCTTTGTTTCAGTCAGTTTATCAGTGGATTGTCAAGCCTCAGACCATTAGCAAGACGAACGAGATGTTCCTTCCCGGTCGAATGACATTCATTTATAATATGGTGAGTATTTCCATTTTACCGAAAAGGCTCTGGTGTTTTACAGGAACATATGACTGCTATACTCTTTTAGTATCATAGAACTAGTATGTATAGTCAGTCTGGCAGCATGTATGTGTTTAGACTTGTGCTCCAACATAGAAACATTTGGCCATGTGCAATTTACAGGTGTCCTCAAATGCTCTTGTTTTGTGTGTGTGTAGAAACCTAATCTTATAATTATATGAGAAATGAGAGGAGTGGATCTTGACTTCATTTTATATGGGACAAAGAAGGCTTAAGATTAAAATAGTGTTTTATTCGAGTTCTGATGAATGGTGTTTTATTCGAGTTCTGATGAATGGTGTTTTATTCGAGTTCTAATGATAGTTTGTCATTTATCGCTTTTGTTTTTAGTGCGTTATTTGTTGATTTAGTATTATAGTTAAAATAGTTAAAATGCAAGTAACGGGCATGAGGACAAGCACTTAGGTATTCAGCAGGTACGTATATATTATTTTCAATGGGGTATGGGAATGAGTATTATAGTACCCTACGCATTGCCATCTCAGTGATACCTTAACATTATATGTAATCCTCAAAGTAATGACAAGAAGGATCATTTGCGAGGCTCAGGGTAAAAACTCATGTTTGTAGACCGCTGGATCCAATCTTTTTATAATCTTTCTACTTAAAAAAAAAAACTCTGGAATCAATTTTCTGACTTAACTTATGTTTAATCTGGTAGGAGGGTGGATACCATCATGATATCCCAACAACCTTGCACCGTAGTAAAGCTGATTGTCTAGTGCCCGAGGTTTGTAACCATGAATTTACTCTCTTATGTTACACAGCTTGTCTATACTTACATTTTCCTGATATACTTTGCTTTTATTTGGGACAGGAAATGGTTACAGTTAATGTTGATGGATCTGTTCTAGATCGCATTGCTAAAATTATGTCATACCTCCGTCTTGGCTCTTCTGGGAAGGTCCTAAAGAAGAAGAAAAAGGAAAAAGATGCTAAAGGTATTGTTCTAAGAAGATTATTTGGGAATTATGGTTATTATCTTCTAGATGCATGTTAATATTGAACAAATATAGTATTCCTCAAAAGCATGTTTCTGTTAGGTGCATTATTGTTAGTTTTGTAAAAGATCACAATGGTTTGTGCTGACCATTTTTTTATGTGGGGGTGAAAAGCTTTTGATTAGTTTGAGTGGCATAGATCAATGATGCGAAACACCTACCTCCCTTGTTTCTTTTCATTGTTAAAGAAATAAGAGGGAAATAATGAATGATAACATTCATTGTCCTATCTTATATGTACTTTACTTAAAAAAAGAATTAATGGTTAATAAATTCCCTACACTCTCTTATTACCCAGGGAAATTTTTGGCTGTCGGTAATGGATATGACAAAGAGGATAAGCTGGCAAAGGTTGAAAGTGTGGGGACAAAGAATCAAACAGAAAGGGAATCTATCCTTCCACCTCCACCCCCCTTGAAGAAAAATCCTATTATTTCAAGGGAGAATCAAGGTCCTGCTGTTGCAGCTGTTGCTAGAGAAGAAGATGATGACATTTTTGTTGGTGAAGGTGTTAACTATGAGATACCTGCTCCCCCGAGTCCTGTCTCTGAGGACATGGAAGAATCTCCTAGAAACAAAGAAAGACCTCAATATTTCACTGAACCTGTTTATGGCCCTGTCCCGCCTTCTATGATGGATCAAGGATGGCAAGAAACGGTAAGTTGATGCCTTGTATTTTGATTTTGGATTGCTGGTTTACTTTGCAACATTATTGGAAAAATTTCCCTACTCCTGTTATGAATATAACATACACGTCGTCTATGCTGATGGTACAAATATTTTAGTATGGATATTGGATACCCTTAATTCATTTTCTTCATTGTCATCATCTTCAGCACCTACTCGCTCATTATCATGATATTTTACTTTTCATGATGAGAACAAAATGTCAGACTTGAATTTTATAGACGCTGTCATCACTCGAGTTTTACCTTTCTTCTCAAAACCTGTTTTCATGTGACAACCTCCCACATTTTCAAATCCATTGTCCTGTTCTACATTTCTCTTACGCTAATATGTCACTGTTGTGAACTTCACCCATATTCTTTAGCACAGGTCCCTTCATAAACATCCATTCTCTTCTGCTACTTGCCCTGGGTATTGGGTTTGCTACCCCTATATCTTCTACATATATTAATCTCACATATTGTGAATTGTGAAACTAACCATCTTGATGGCATGGTTTTCTCAACATAAAAAATCAATCAATCTTCAAATCTTGACCCTTCTACTCTCCATCTCAGTTTTACAGCATCCTCGTACCTTATTTCATTCATGAATGACCTGATTCCAAAGTTTAACCATATATCTATGTCCATATGCTTGGATGTCTCCTCCCCTGTAAATAATCTTAGTCTCCTTGACAGATACATCTCTATGGTGACTCTCTAGTGCAAAATTCATGCAGAGAGTAGGAAAAAAATATTTATCTACTCTAATTAAAGACTCCTATAAATCTTCTCATTGGGTCCCGTCACCTCACCCATAAAACACAGACTAAACCTTAAGAAAATGTTGGTTATTATATGTATTGTAGGCATTCTGTCCGAACATGCTTTTTAATTTCTCATGCGAAAATCTGGTTTTGAGGAGGAAACAATCGCACAAAGCCCCTCCCCCCCCTCTCCAACAGCTTTGTCATGCCCTTAGCAAGCCTATGCCCCACCCTTTGTAAACTTCATTCCATTGAGAGCTTTGTCCATGTCTGATAGGGATGAAAAATTAAGATAAATAGAAAATATAATATTGATTGACTTAAGAAACTATTATAGAGATTGATCCTATAATCCCCCAGAGCAAACGCTCCTCAGAAGAGAGATGATTCTCTCTCTGCCCAAACCCTAATAGGAAAAACAGAAAATAATAAGATGCCTAACTACTGCCCCATTCACTCCTATTTATATGAGGAATACTAACTAAGCCAACTCCTATTTATTTGGTTTGGACTAAGGCCCAAACCAATATCCTAACATTACCGGCAACCAAAAATACAACCTTGTCCTCAAGGTTGAAATGAGAAAATGTCCTTCAACATATAACAACGACGTGCCAAACACTTCCCTTGCAAGGTGAAAGGTACTGGTGGGTTTAAAACAAGACAAATCTGCACTTCAGCAAACCACAAAACCATACTTGGAGTTTATTTTCTTGAAACAGTGCAACAACACTACTGTAGCTTTTGCATCTCCCTGGATCCCATTGTTGAGAACTTAATAGGACACGACTTCAAACAATCGAAACTGTTGTACATCTTCATGCTTACTATCCGTTGATGACAGTCTGCAGCTTTTCTCAATTAAGGGTCGTGTCTTTTACAATTCCAAGGAATAAAAAATTAAGATAAATAGAAAATGTAATATTGATTGAATTAAGAAACTATTATAGAGATTGATCCCTATAATCCCAGAACAAATGCTCCTCAGAGGAGAGATGATTCTCTCTATGCCCAAACCCTAATAGGAAAAACAGAAAATAATAAGATACCTAACTACTGCCCCATTCACTCCTATTTATATGAGGAATACTAACTAAGCCAACTCCTATTTATTTGGTTTGGACTAAGGCCCAAACCAATATCCTAACAATGTCTCATACATCAACTTTTTTTTTTTTTAAAGGTAGATGAACAGACTACTTTACGGAGTATCAATCCTATTTGAGCACTAAACTAAAATGTCAAAGGATAAAAGTTGAATACAAGTATGTATGTTTCCCACATGAATACGGCTATACCAAAAAATAACACAATATTTAAAAATTTCAAATATCATGCCTTCCCCGTCAGATCTCAAGTGGCATCAAATGTGCCATACTGGATGAATGCCGACACAACAATGATATATGGTCTTCCGTTAGTCACCTCATCACTTAAATCTTCGCTTTTGAAACAAAGACAATGTAGTCAAGAACTATTCAGAAATTAATTATACTATTTATGCTTCTCTCTCTTTCATAAGATTTATTCTACTTGAGTTATGTTTGATGATTTATTAAGTTCCTATCTTTTTTCGTTTGATTGTCTGGTCTTAGAATGGATATGATGTAATGCAAACACAAGCCATGGTTGGTGGCTACCAAGGGCAATGGCAGGAGTATCAGTATGCTGAACAACTGGCTTACCCTGATCAATATCTTCAGCAAAATATGCAGGCTTATGATGTCCAGGCAGATTTAAATGTTGCACAAGATCCACGCTTTATGACTCAAGAAGAAAAGGACCGAGGTTTAGGATCAGTGTTTAAACGAGATGACCAGAGACTTCAGCAGCTGAGGGAGCAAGATGCCCGTGAGAAAGATCCTAACTTCATCTCGGAGAGTTACTCTGAATGTTACCCTGGATATCAAGAATATAACCGCGAGGTAGTGGACAGTGACGAGGAAGCTGACTTGTCTAAAATGGATATGGGAGGAAGGGTAAGTAACATTGATATATCTTGTCATTGTTTCCGCAAGCTAATTTATACATTGATACTTGTATTTATCTCGAAATAGCTATTTGAGAGAATTAATAATTTTGGTAAGCTTGCTTATAACCAAACAATGTGTTGAAAGATCCAATATTGAAATGTGCTCTGGACAGGCAAAGGGTCGTCTTCATAGATGGGACTTTGAAACTGAAGAGGAATGGGCCACTTACAACGAGCAGAAGGAAGCAATGCCAAAAGCGGCATTCCAGTTTGGTGTGAAGATGCAAGATGGTCGGAAAACCCGGAAGCAGAACAAGGACCAGAAACTCAACAATGATTTGCATAAGATCAACAAGATACTTTCAAGAAAGAAGATGGATAAGGAAGGGAATGGTGAGGCTGGCCAATATGAAGATGAGCCCACCCCTGGAAAGAAGCTTCGAGTATGAGTCCTATTCACCAGTCTGTACTGTTATATTTATAGAATGAGATGAAGGTTTTCAATTTATATCTTAAGATGGTGATTAATTGATATTTTCTTTTCCCATCTGTAGAAATTAGAAACCTTGTTCAGGTTTTTTTTGTCATGTTCATAAAATGAAAATAATTGGCATTAATATTAACTGGGTGTCTAACGTCTATTTTTTCTCATCTTGTTGTGTTATTATTTAACAACTTCCTGATAAATGTTTGGGCATGCTCAACTTGGATATATAAATGTGTTTGAAAACCTTGGATGACAGTGCTTTTGTGAAGAAATATGCTAGGTGAGACTTGGTGGAAATAGGGATCAGTTTGAGTAATTACTTTGAACCTCTTTTCTGAAAAAAAGACATATCTTTCTAGATATTTTGTTCATTCGTGAAAAACTGAATTAACTGCCGTGTGTATAACACTTTCGTTATCACAGTATAAAACTGATGACTTTATGAATGAAGTTTTGAGGTCTCTGAATAAATACATCGATCAATGTAACCCACAAGAAGCAAATGATAAAAGATCTGTATCTGCCTCTGAAGAGCTCTTAGAGATAGTTTGTTGTTTGTTAGTTCTCTATGACTTAATTGCTATCTGGCAAAAACTATATCAGGTTTTGTGGTTATCAAATACAAAAGTTTGCATACCAAATACCTATATCTAACAATGTCTTCATAAGCTGCTATTGAATCTTGATGTAACTTTCTTGCTTGCTTGCTTTAGAGTTTAGACCATAGAGTAACAGTAGTTTCCAGTCCTGATTTGGTTTGGAATGAGTTGCTCCTTGTAGAATTATTATGTAAACATCTTGCAGCTCACCATGAATAAATACATTGTTAATATCTAATTGGAGTAACAGTCAATAGTTAATTGGAGCTAGAGAAATTATTGTTCCGACTATGGTGACTTTGGCCACTATTAGAATGTATCAAAGAAGTTTAAGCCTTCAATTTGATTATATCCCTTTTCAACAAATCTTTTTTTATTTTATATATATATATATATATATATATATATATATATATGTATATGTACTTCATTTAAACATCCATTTATTGCCAATAGGTTAACGATATGTAGGGAGGTCAACGATCAACCAAGTTTTATTCTGTTTCAAGGCATTTAGTTCTGACTTCATGTCATCAATCCACCATATGAACGAATTGCATAACAATGAGGTCCTATTTATCAAAATGAAGTAATTCACCACATTTGACAGTTTTATTATTGCTTAATTAGTAAGAAAATCTTTCATGTTTGACAAAGTGACATATCACATACAAAAATTTCATCAATGTTTACAAAAGGAACCTCGTAATGAATATTAAGCAGCCTACGATCAGACAAATGACTTATTCTAAAGTGCCATAAGGTCTGTTTAGGTAGATAAAATTTGAGCTATGAGCATTAGTGTTAAAATTGGAAGCATTGGGAGTGACTTTGGTTTGTTGTATGAGATAGTATAATCTCTCAATCATATAAAATCACCACTAGGAGAAACATTCCTTTAATTCATTTAGAACATGATTAGAGTTTTCAAGAAATACAATGCTCTGGGCAATGGAGCTTCCCATCGAATTCATGATTCACTAATGTATGAACATAATGCGTAGAGTCCAAGCTTTGTAGCTAGGAACGAAATGGGATGGAACTAGAATTGAACCATCTATGAATTCAAATTTGTTTTTGGCGTCAAGTGCAAGATGTATGGATCGTGGCCAAGCATGATAATTTGAGTGAGTGAAAACAGAAACTATCACCATTGAATAAGGTCCATTAGATGAATGAACATAGGAACCATTTCTAAGACATTGAGAAGGATCTTGTGAAGGATTTCCAACAGGAGGAGGTGGTTAGAGGATTTGTAGCATTGCGAACAATTGGTGAAGATAGATTGATGCAGAAAATAGCCTAGAAAAGGTCTGATACCATCTTTAAAATGTCATCCATTGATGCAAATGAAGAAAAGTGCATTAGCTTAAGGAAGAAGGATATAAATTCTACAAATCCCAAAATGCATCACCTTTACCATATATAGAGCAAGAATATCTAACCACTCTAACAACCAAACTAACAACTCATTAACCAACTCTAATAAACTCAACAAAATGAACTGATCTAACCCACACTAAGAGCTCTAATCACCTGCAGCTAGCAGTTTTGTGTCCTCATGTTCAAAGAGTATAAAACTCCTCCGCACGATGAATTGAAGCACTCATGCACCACAGTTTGATAAATATTACCAAAATAGTATGTGGTACAAATGATAATGACACCTGAACTGTCCGAAAATGTTTAAAAGAAGTAATGGGACAAATGTTGTTTCTTCTTGAATCACAAGTATGATAAAACAACATAATTATAACAGTTCAATTTTGCCACTCTCTACAAGCGGCTTTATCGATTTGTAACATATAAAGTAAAGGACACCCGCCTCCATTTCAAACAGCTTTGACCTGCAAAAACAATCAAATTAATCTGCTATCTAAATTTTCTTGAAATGGCGGAATAATTCATGCAAGAAAAAGAGAATTGCCTGTCATCAACAGGTCCGTCTCCGAGCTGAATGCCTGTGAGATAATCTTTACTTCTACACAACACAAATGTGTCTAGTCGTGGTTCTGGAACTGAAACATGCAGAAACAAATTAATTGTCAGAGCAGATGCTTCGTAAGCAAAGCGATTTCAAGTCAAATAAGCAAAGCGATTTCAAGTCAAATAAGCAAAGAAAGCTACAATTTTGCAAAATAGCTTCACGCATTAAGTTCATAAAATGTTGAAAAAAGGTACTACAAAAGTGATCCTCAGACTCTGATTTTAAGTCATTCAATCCAATCATTCCAAAATCTTTCATATTGCTTGTCAAAATGCTAACAAGATTTTTTCTTCTTATAGCAGATTAGGGGTGTGCATGGTTGGTTATTTGTAAAAACCAAACCATAACCATTTTTAAACTATTTAAATGGTTTGAATTTATAACCATAACCAAATTTTAATCAAAACTGGTTATGATTTTATAACCGGTTTTAAAAAAAAAAAACAGTTTACAAAAAAAAAATCTCGAAATTTGAATTTTTTTTTTCAGAAAATATATATTTTTTAACTTTGAAAATTAAAATATTTGGATTTTGAATAATAACCGAATTATAATCGAATTCAAAAACATTTAACCGGTTAATAACCATTTTATTATATCCAGATTATATGGATGGATAATCAAACCATTAATAACTAAACCGGTTAGTAACCATTCAATTTTATCCGGATATTTAAAACACATTTGGATTTGGTTGTGGATGTGAGCCTCACAACCGGATATTTTGCACACCCCTATTGCAGATTGATTTCAGTTCAGGCAAATCAAATTTGAATATATCGAGTCCTAGACAGACAAAATGGTCCATAAGAAATAACAAAATATCAAAACCAAAAATGACATTGGCGAACAAGAATGGTAAATTACTCATGTCATCCTCTTCGCTAATTATGGATTGCCTCTCACGAGACTGATAATTTTCAGGCAGTTTTGATAGAACACTCTCCTCCAGATGTTTCTTTAAGTCATCTGAGCACCTACAACCAGAAAACTAGATTAAAAACCAAAGTAGCCTACCTTGCTACAAATTGAAAGTCCGGAAAAATTTCTTGTAAAAATACATTGAGCTATCTTAAGAAACACATTGAACAACCTTACCTTTCCGTGAAAAATTTCTCATCTTTAGAAAGCCTGTTCCAAAGTTCATCAGTTTTTTGGATGTGGAACATGTACTTTTCAATCTGCAATATAAATGTGGTTAATAAAATTTGATAAAAATGCAATCTGGGAAATACAACAATAGGTGACTCTATGCACATCTTGATCAGTATTACAATATTTCAACAATTAATGTGTACCTTATTGATATAAAATCTGGTAGAAACTAAGGTGTAAAAAACATTATCTCGCAAAATAGATGCGATACCAACAAATAGAATTTCAATCTAGTTAAAGATCAATAAGGCCACCGCTATTGGGACATTCCACTGGTTTGAGCAAAATGTTAAAGGAGTTGACTGAGTTAGAAGACCGGAGCAATGTAGTCGAGCACGAGATCTTAAGTATGATCGGACAGCTTGTGAATGATCGTAAAACTTGGATTTTTAGCACAGACATAAGATCCTACCAAAGGGAAAATGGTAATTTCATATATAAACAAAAACATGAAAACTATAATACAACAGGCCCAATAGCTCGAGCTTGACCATGTTTGTGACGAAAACAATCTTGCTTCAAAAAGCTCGATCTTGACCATGCTAGTGACGAAAACAATCTTTCTCTGATCATAGCCCTCTCCGGCATCCTTACCATATAAGATCTTACGATGTTACGATCCATCACTCGATCTTAACTACACACGACAAGAGTCCACATTCGGTTAACATAACAACTAATATACTATCCGAGTAAGGTCACTACTAATACTCCAACTTCGGTTAACATAACAACTAATATACTAACCGAGTAAGGTCAATGCTAGTACTCCAACTTCGGTTAACATAACAACTAATAACTAATATACTAACTAAGGTCACGGCTAATATTCGAGTGTACAAGTACAACAATAAATCATTGGTTAATTTTTCTATTAAATAGTGGTTTGAATGGAAACTCAAGAGCCTATGGCTGTTTACCTTCAAGATACGGATACGAAGATAGGACCTCAACAGAAAGAGGGTTCTATCCAAATCCATTTGATACAGCGACACCGAAAGAGGGTCAGTCCCAAGAGTAGATTTCTCCTCCACAGTTTCTTCCTGCAAAAAACAAGATACACCAAGAATCAAATCAAATCACAAGAAAAAATTTCCAATTTCCAGAACAAATCTTCTACGAAAACATGAAAAATGCAATAGGGTTTTACATGTTACCATCAACTCAATTTGTTCTCTGACACGGGCAATCAAATCGGATTGAAAAGGAAGAATCTCCGGGGCTGCCTTCTCGTTACGCCAAGCGCGTTTGAGAAGTTCAACATCGGTGGTTGAAAGCATGGCATTGTAATCGTCTTCAGCTTGAGTTGATGGTTCAGTTTCCACAGATCTTGAAGCCATTGTTTAGAAATTTAGAATGGAAATGAAGAAAAAAAAACACAAACTTGAACCTTTTCAGTAGCAAAATTTATGAGAAGATCGCAACATAGATGTGAAACAAGACTGAGAAAATAGGAAGCAGAAACGGTCTGGTGGCGCTCAATTTGAAACGAGGAGGAGAAGGGCGGGACAGCGGATTTAGGTTTTTGCGGTAGAATTTTGCTCTGAAATATTTTCCATCTGTCCAAAGGGTATAACCGTCAATTGCTTTTGACGACCACAATTGATAATCCAATTTTGAAGATAACAACTTGATGAAAGTTCTTTATAGGAGTTGATTTCAAGTATGAAGTAAATCGCTAAAGATAGCACCTCATTAAGAAGATATTTCAAGTCTCATCTTTTAGACAATTTAAGAATTCAATTGAAGTGTTAACTAAGTTGATAAATCAAACAATAGATCTTGAAGTCTAAAAGAGAGAGAGTGTGAAAGTCTATTCCATCTCGCGTTTAACATCTTAGAGTGATAAGTTAAAATGTAAAAGTTTAAGAGTAAGTTTTATAATACCGAGACAATCAAAAGTTTTTTAAAATCCTTTTTGATTTCATAAAAACTTTTTGAAAAACCTATCAAGGCTTGTATAGAATTGATTAAGAAGTATTTCTAATCAATTGAAAATATTTTTACGTTGCTCAATCGATTAATGAATTGATTCAATTTATTAAAGCAAGATAAATGACCTTTTAATTAGATGGAAAATTTTTAATCGATTAAACTATATAGTTTTTCGGTTTTCTTTTTTTGATTATGGTTGCTATATTTTGAAAGTTTTAATCAATTATCAATTAGGGTTAATTGATTAAGTCATTAAATAGGCTACGAATTATTGTCTATTTTAATCAATTTTTTTTATAGAGGAAGCTTCTCCTCATTTCATTTTACACTTAATTTATGAATAGAATTCACTCTATCACTCTTTAGCTCTCTTTGATTTTATATTATCTTTTCACAAAATTTAGTGTAGTACTAAAAGACCAAAAATCCCTTGTGCTTTAGGTTGCTTTATCTAAGAATGTGATTTTCTTGTGGAACTATTTTGCAATAGAGTTAAAAAGTTGCAAGCTAAACATGTGTAAAAGTTTGGTTGTAGGTATTTCAGCTTAACTTGTGTAAAAATTCTATTTGAAGGTTCTTAAGTTTGACTTATATAAAAGCTAGTAAATTTTAAAGTTATTGAGCTAAGCTAGTGTAATAGTTATGTCTGTTGCTTCTTAAGCTTAGCCATTATAAAAACTTTATTTGTATGTTGTTGAAGGTTCATGGGTGAGTTTAGTGAAAAGCTCAAGCGTATTTTTTAGGTGGAACTCTCGAGAGAAAGCTTTTGGAGTAGTAGTAGGACAAGTGGTTAGGTCAGATATGTATAAATATATAGTGTATATCTCTTCTATCTTTAATTTATGTTGTTTAGATTATTTTTGTTGTATATCTCTCTTCATCTCAATCTTTTTTTCCGCTGCCTTATCTCGGTATGATTATCGAAATTAAAACAATTATTTACAGAATAAAGATTTTAGAAATTAGTTTTTATTTTCATACAACACAATCCACTCCCACATCTTATGTTTGGAGTCACTTGATCAATAAGTAGTACCAGAGTCTAACTCATATTATAAGACTAGTCCTCTTAGGAGGTAGTATGATGACTTCAAATATTTATTCTTTTAACAAGGGGGTGTTCATAAATCCACCTCTATCGTTTAATGGTGAAAGATTTAACATATGAAAAGAAAGAATACAAATATTTTTTGATTCTATTGATTATGATTTATATAATTCTATTTTTGACTATCTGTTGTACCCCAAAATTTGCCCTTCCATTTTCTTCATGATATTCTCATGAGGTCCCTATTTACTCAAAACGACTCAAGAGTTGACTTGTCAAAACTACCTCCTAAGCAAGGGTCTTCAACTAGGGTTTGGTGCTTCTCAAAGAAAATTGGTATGCAAGGGTCTCAAATGACTTTCATGGTTCATCATAGGTCCTCAATAATGTTTATGTCAAGTTTCAAGTCTTGCATCACATGTTTGCTCATCCAATGACTTAGATGATTGAAAATCAATTATATTGAGTAAAAAGTCAACTATGGTCAATATACAATCAAACTTCAAGATTTTTGTCAACATCAACATTTTGAGGTGATATTCGTCATTTTATCAAGGGTTGATCATGATTCCTCAAGGAAAGCCCTCAAATCATCAAATGTTAAAAGTCGCCAAAATTAGGGTTTTGACTGAAAATGACTGATCATTGACTTTTGGGCTAATGCATGACCTAATGGCTTAAAGCATGATCTCAAGGGCTCAAATACAACATCTTGACCTAATTACATGGCTCAAGACATCTTCAAAGATACAAGTGATTGACAGTTGAATAATTGAACCAATTGAATGAAAAGTCAACAGTTACTCAAAAGTCAAACTTTGACTTTTTGGTCAACATTGGAATTTAAAAATTAAGAATCATCAAACCATTCAAAATTATCAAACTTGATCATCAAGAGTAAAAAAAGTCAAAAGTTGGGAAATTTTCCAACACTTAGAAAAAAATTCTAAGTTGTTTTTGTTCTTAACAAAGTCATTACTTTATGGCCATTTTTCACTAAGATCCAAGTTAATTCAAAGAAAACTTTCAGCATGAAAGTTGTAGGGATTGATGAATTCTACAACTTTGTTAATATGATATGATCCTTAAAAATTTCTTAATTTAAGAGATATGAGCCCATGAAGTTGTGATATTTTTTTATCCAACTCTTAGAAAAATTTTCAACAAGTTTTGATCAGTTTTTTATCCCAACTTTTTGGACAATTTTCACCAAGTTCCCATTTGATTTATCCAAAATGATCAACATGAGAATTGTAGATCTTGATTTAAGCTTTCTAAAATGTCCAAAAACACAAAGAGATCATTTTTGAGATAGGAGATTCGAAGACATGAAGATGGCATGAAAAACTTGAATTTTAGGTCATTCTTGTGAAAACCTTATGGCCAAATCTCATAACCATGTTGCACAATCTGACTTTGCAGGCCTCTAAACTTGTAAATCTATCTCTAATCAGAAGATTACACAAGCTTTTGAGCTATGGTCCATTTGATTCAAGCATTATCCAATCCAATTTTCCATTTTTGGCACAAAGTTAACATTGTCATTTTGATAAAGTTGCTTTAATCACAAAGTCCACTCCTTGAGCCCATACATTGTTGCTTCTGACTTTAAAAGACCTCAGCACTAAGAAGCAACATCTTTAAGCCTATCAACCACCCTACATTGCATTAGAACCATGTTCTTCAAGGTTACTTCAAAACTAAGCATCCAAACCATAACTTATCATCTTTCAATTCTGGTTACTTCAAATTCTCAAACCTTTTCTCTATAAATAGAGAGGACATTTGCAAGACAAAAAACGAGGAGACAACCCTCAAACACACTCAAACTCAGAATCACCAAGAAAACTCCATTAGTGCATATTTTGAGCTTTAAGAAGCCAACTCTCAATCCACTCGTGTTTTCCTTTTTTATCATTCAAACATCATTTATACACCATATAAAACTCATCCACGCACCTATTTCACTTTTTTAATCGCTCCATCATCATACACCATTTCCACTTTTCACCATTGCAACTTGACTTGATTGGGGAGATTCAAACACTTTCAACATATTGTAAGGATTGGAACAACTTTAGGGAGGTCCAAGGAAGCTTAATCAATAATTTAATTGTACATGGAAGTCTCCATATGAGTTATGAGTTTTGCTTCAAGAGGTAAGTTTTCTTGAATTTCAAAACAACATATACGCGCATCATTTGCTTTCAATTTCAAAAGATAAAATGTAGATATGATTTCCCTGAAGCTAACCATGTGATTAGTTTTCATTTATATTGACTGTGTGAAGAGAATTTTGATTCTGAACAATTAGGTTTTGTTTTTAGTACTAACAGAAATTCTTGCTTATCTTTAAGTGTTGTTTAAAATAAGGTATATGGTTGAATCCGTGATTAAATTTCAAGCAAGTTTGGTTTTGGAATTTTTTAACATGGATGAGAAATGAGAGTTTTAGGAATTCAACAATGGTATTGTTGTTCGTTAGCGCGCGCGAGGAAGAAGAAGATAGCAATTTCAAATTTCTAAACTGAGTTTATAATATATTTATTGGGTGTTGTTTCATAACTAGATGAAACAACCACCCTAGTGGCAAGTGTGTGTGTGTGTGTAAGGCGTTAGTGTGCCAGGACAGGGGTTCGATCCCTGCCTCTGGCATTTTATTTTATAATATTTCTCTTGCAGATTCCATGCTATGCGATCCAATACGTGCACCATGCATCCTCATATCTTGACCATCAGATCTCAAATATCCTGATCCAACGTTCCCAAATCAGCATGCCTATGATGCACTCCAAGGAATTATCCACACATGATCCAGCACAGCGCCTGGACTCTCCTCTGTTTGGGCCTAACATTTTTGCTTCTTCTCACCCCCTTTATTACTTGTTTACATTCATGCCCATTTTACTTCTTTTTTTATTTTAATTAACTTTTTTTTTCTAAAATCATTTTTATTTGATCAGAAAAAATAATAAAATCACAAAAAATTTAGATTTTAGGTTTTGATTAATTAATTTGATTTTCATAAATAAAAATTAATTTAATTTAATCACTTTGTTTTATTTTGTTAATTAAATTGTAAAATAATTAGAATTAGGTTTTGTTACTGTTTTACACTATCAAATATTTTTCTAAACAAAAACAACAAAATATTTTCTTAAACACTTAGAAATATTTTAGGGTTTCTTAAACATCTTTCCCCTTTTCACCACATTCGCACATTTTATTTTCGCATCAGTATTTTCCAATATTTTAACTGTTCAATGGTCTGTAATAACTTTAATTAGGGTTTACTATTTTTTCCCATTCATAAATTTTTACCCTCATTCTCGAAGCGTTGTAATAGCGTAGGATATT